AGAGTGGCGAAATAATGCTTTTGGGGTGGTTGGCGGGGGGGCAGGGTGGGGAGGTTCGAAATGCAGGCCGGCTCTCACGGGTTCGGGTCTTACGCGTACGTGGGTCGCAAGGCTGAAAACAACCGGACCGTCATAGAGATATGGTCAACGAATCCAAACTCGGTCTCGTGGTGCCATGTGCATCGAAAACAATGTAACACATGCCCTGAAGGGTCACTCGACCGCTGGGGTGGCTTGGAGCCCCATGGATCCGCCGATTTCGAAGGGGGGCTAGGGCAGGATATCTATATGACGGTCCACCCCCCAGAATTGGTGGGACGACAGGTAGGGTGCAGTTGGCGTGCTGTAGCGGCGTGTAGCTCGATGGCCAAGGCAAGATGCATGGTGGGGATGGCGAAGGACATCAGGTGGGATGTGGGACTACCGCGCCTTGCCACATGAAGGCTCGGCACACCCCTAATTCTAGTGCAAAAGGTTGTTGATGTAGACTGTGGTAGGTGGGGGCATTGGAGGGGGTGTGGCCCGACCGAGCATGGTTGCGCTGATGGAGCAGGGCGTAGCGAGCGAACCGCTTCGATTCGTGCGGCGCGCGAGGTGTCCCAACACACTAGAAGAGTGGCGAAATAATACTTTTGGGGTGGTTGGCGGGGGGGCAGGGTGGGGAGGTTCGAAATGCAGGCCGGCTCTACGGGTTCGGGTCTTACGCGTACGTGGCTCGCAAGGCTGAAAACAACCGGATCGTCATAGAGATATGGCCAATGAATCCAAACTCGGTCTCGTGGTGCCATGTGCATCGAAAACAATGTAACACATGCCCTGAAGGGTCACTCGACCGCTGGGGTGGCTTGGAGCCCCATGGATCCGCCGATTTCGAAGGGGAGCTAGGGCAGGATAATGAATCCAAACTCGGTCTCGTGGTGCCATGTGCATCGAAAACAATGTAACACATGCCCTGAAGGGTCACTCGACCGCTGGGGTGGCTTGGAGCCCCATGGATCCGCCGATTTCGAAGGGGGGCTAGGGCAGGATATCTCTATGACGGTCCACCCCCCAGAATTGGTGGGACGACAGGTAGGGTGCAGTTGGCGTGCTGTAGCGGCGTGTAGCTCGATGGCCAAGGCAAGATGCATGGTGGGGATGGCGAAGGACATCAGGTGGGATGTGGGACTACCGCGCCTTGCCACATGAAGGCTCGGCACACCCCTAATTCTAGTGCAAAAGGTTGTTGATGTAGACTGTGGTAGGTGGGGGCATTGGAGGGGGTGTGGCCCGAGCATGGTTGCGCTGACGGAGCAGGGCGTAGCGAGCGAACCGCTTCGATTCGTGCGGCGCGCGAGGTGTCCCAACACACTAGAAGAGTGGCGAAATAATACTTTTGGGGTGGTTGGCGGGGGGGCAGGGTGGGGAGGTTCGAAATGCAGGCCGGCTCTCAGGGTTCGGGTCTTACGCGTACGTGGGTCGCAAGGCTGAAAACAACCGGACCGTCATAGAGATATGGTCAACGAATCCAAACTCGGTCTCGTGGTGCCATGTGCATCGAAAACAATGTAACACATGCCCTGAAGGGTCACTCGACCGCTGGGGTGGCTTGGAGCCCCATGGATCCGCCGATTTCGAAGGGGGGCTAGGGCAGGATATCTCTATGACGGTCCACCCCCCAGAATTGGTGAGACGACAGGTAGGGTGCAGTTGGCGTGCTGTAGCGGCGTGTAGCTCGATGGCCAAGGCAAGATGCATGGTGGGGATGGCGAAGGACATCAGGTGGGATGTGGGACTACCGCGCCTTGCCACATGAAGGCTCGGCACACCCCTAATTCTAGTGCAAAAGGTTGTTGATGTAGACTGTGGTAGGTGGGGGCATTGGAGGGGGTGTGGCCCGAGCATGGTTGCGCTGACGGAGCAGGGCGTAGCGAGCGAACCGCTTCGATTCGCGCGGCGCGCGAGGTGTCCCAACACACTAGAAGAGTGGCGAAATAATACTTTTGGGGTGGTTGGCGGGGGGGCAGGGTGGGGAGGTTCGAAATGCAGGCCGGCTCTACGGGTTCGGGTCTTACGCGTACGTGGCTCGCAAGGCTGAAAACAACCGGATCGTCATAGAGATATGGCCAATGAATCCAAACTCGGTCTCGTGGTGCCATGTGCATCGAAAACAATGTAACACATGCCCTGAAGGGTCACTCGACCGCTGGGGTGGCTTGGAGCCCCATGGATCCGCCGATTTCGAAGGGGAGCTAGGGCAGGGGAGCATGCCAAATCTTTGCGAGAAATTGGATTCACCCAAATCCCCATAATACGATTGTGAGGACCTAAGAAGCCCTCGACCACTTCAAACCTTCAGAAAGCCCTTTCAAAAAATTTTGGTGCGCTTTAGCTGCACCCGTTTCACGTTCCAAGGTTGCTTCATATGTAGAGATTTATTGTTTCACACCCCAATATTAAAGTAGTTACGATTTTAATTTCAGCTGACGCTGCGTTCTTGAGGTTGGCAATATGCGCTGCACGACTATACGTCGTCATATCTATTACTAGATCGGGATTTTCCGCTGGGATTTCACCCGATATGGGGCTCGAACCCATGACCACCAGGTTAAAAGCCTGGCGCTCTGCCAACTGAGCTAACCGGGCTTAGATGATAACTACTGGCACCACGGTCTCCAAGTTTGCATGTGCTTCCATCATATCGATAGGTACACCGCACCGCACCGGCATTTGACAATAAATTTGTACCAGGCTACGGCTGTTGAGTTCCCGCCAAAAGCGAGTCACACTGACATAGAAGAAGAAGAGCAAGAAAGGGCCAAAGGCGAGCACAACATCGTCATCATCAGTTACCTGCGCTGGACCTAGCTAGCGTCCCAGATGAACAACAACAAAAAAATATAAATGACACACGTGTGAGGTTGACAGTTTAGTAAAAAAAAAACAGTACGAGTACCTGCCAACGCAAGTGCCACAACGACAAGCATCGAATAAGATCTAAGCGTCTATGACATTCCAATAACAGCAAAGATTTCCGAGATATTTCGATTTAGATACCCGACAACAGGAAACGTCTAAGCCCTCGCCTGCGCTGGACACCTGCAGTGGTGCCATGTTTTGCGCGTCAATTTTCATGTTTCTCAGAAATATCATGCAGACATTCGAGCAAAATCAATTGTTGATAAATGAAGACCTTGGAATTTTCTGCTGTTAAACCACCTTGGGCGGATGAGGACGAGTTGCGGGAATTTCGTCGGTGACTGCTTGCGCTGGTCATCCAGCCGTAGTATTTGATAGTACTCAAAGCTGGATCCTGAGCTGGACGTACAAGTAAGCGCTATGAGCGCAGTTCGAAGATACTGATAATGCTATCGCTGTGGCATTCGCTGAGGCATCGCGCAGTGCGAGACCGCGAACGCCAACTCTGGCAGTGCTCTTCTGTCGCCGTTTGAATACATCTTTCCTTAAGGATACAATTGTCACGAGCACGCCCTTTGAAATAAACTTGTTCACCTCACTTCCACCTCAGTGTGGCTTAGCAGCAACGATTTGCAGCAATGGTAACATGATCGCTGTTCACGAGCATGGAGCCTCTTGGACACGTGTAGCCGCGATAGCCAACACTTTGTGTTGAGCTTCCTATATCTTTGCATAACGGCTTCACGTGACTATGAGGAAAGCATTTCGCAGTAGGTGAGCGCGGGATGATTCTAAGGAACGCATTTCAGAAGCGCAGTTGTGCCAGCGTATATCCTTCTGGCGGGCCTTTACTCTTGGTGCCGAAACGTGTATTTTTCTGTCGCACAAGGCGTTGTGGGGCTCGCTTAGACTTTCAAAATTTCCACTCGAGTAACGACCGTAATAATAAGCTGTGCATCGCTCCGCTCGACCTCCGGAGAACTTCGATAGCTGCTGAGGAGCTGGTGCTCAGGACTTATTTTGGAAGCAATGCCGACGCTCCTGCCGTAGACGCTCGCTCTTTTTATCTTTGCCTGACGTCACCGCCTAATCGTAAGCTGCCGGTGCTTTGCGTATGCGACGCACCCCAGGGCCATGTCATCGGCCGCTTTGTAAACGAGGTCGGCGCTGAACGGGTGAGGCTTCTAGTCTCCGGGCTTTTCCCCACTGCATACCAGACGGATATGTTGCAATCTGACGTGGACGACGCGCTCTCCCTGCTCGGCCAACTGCTGCAGCCTGCGCGCGCCGCCACGGCCGTTGAACTCTGTCGGCAAATTAGCACCGCGCGCGCCAGTGGCCGGGAGGGGTGGCTCCGGCAGCGGCAGCAGTGGATGACGGCGGTGGCTGAGGGGCTTCGAAAGGCGAGCGAGAAGTTGGAGGGACTACAGGCCATCGGCAAGGTGCTTATGTCCCTGCCAGCTGCCGTTATCACTTGTCGAAATCTGCAAAAAGTCGCAGCAGCGGCTCATTTTCTTTTCTGCACTACTCATTTTGAAAAATACATAACACACGCATGTGTGCCCGCTAAATCCACTTTTGTCGCGGTGCTTCCATGGGCGCGTTCGCGATGCGCTCTGATCGATATCATGTTTGTCTCGGACACTGGCGTGGATCCATGCACGAAGGGTTTTTGGATCCAATCCAGGTTCATGGATCCAATCCTGGTAAGCAGGTCCTGCGCCGCTTCGCTTCACGTCACTTCAGGCTGCAGCTTGATACACTGCTCATCCACGTGCAGCGCATATGGCCCGTAGCGCCCGTCGCTGGCATATGCATACGCACATACGTGGCTGACACATGAAAGACTGGCAGGTCCTCGACCTCCCCCGTCTGCCCTACCACATCGAGGCGTACGACATCAGTCACCTTCACGGCACCGGTACTGCAGCCGGGCAGGCCGTGCTGAACGGCGGCCTCCCGGCCCTGGACGGTTACGGCTACTACCCGATCCTCACTAGCAGCCCGGCGGATGACTGCGCCGCGCTGGCGGAGGCGATGCGGCGCCGCTTTGGCGAGCAGCCGGATGGGGTTCGGGAGCCTCCGCCACACCTGGTGATCATCGACGGTGGGCGTGGGCAGCTCTCCGCAGTGACCGCCGCGCTGACGGAGCTCCAGCTGGAGGGCCGTGTCCGCGTGGCGGCCCTCGCCAAGTCCCAGGAGCAGCTCTTCGTTCCTGGCCGGACCCAGCCAATCCGGCTGCCACGGAGCTCCCCCGCAATGCTGATCCTGCGTCGGGCCCGGGATGAAGCGCACGCTGCAGCCAACCTCGGGCACGGCGCCCTGCGGGGGGAGCGGGTGTGGCAGAGCTGTTTGGACGGGGTCGCAGGGGTCGGGATGGCGAAGCAGAGCGCCCTGCTCGCGCACTTCCGCACGGAGGAGGCGCTGCGGAAAGCCTCGCTGGCTCAGCTGGCTCTCGTGCCGGGGATCGGCCCCACCCTTGCTGCCAAGGTGGGACCCCGCGGAGACCGCCTCTTGCCGGGCGATAGGGTGCGTCGGCGCTGGGGAGATGGGATGTTGGAACAGTATGATGTGACAAATGGAAGGTGAGTCCAGAGCCTACGGGTGAAGAGGTGAGCGTTTAGAGCCCAAGGCGCGGGTAAATTGAGTGAACACGGCGCGGGGCACGCTGGAACAGCGAGTCAACCTGTGCTATCAAACTGGAGGAGGGATTTCAGAAAGTGGGGTATTTGAGGGACACGCAGGGGGAGGGGATGTGATGGTCCTGATCGGGGGTCGTGCAGGGGCAGAGGGTATGCAAGCAGGCTGGTTGGGGCTACGCGGGGCGGAGGTATGTGACGCAGGGCCAGAGGGCATGCAAGCAGGCTGGTTGGGGGCTACGCAGGGGCAAAGGTCATGCAAGCATGCTGGTTGGGGGCTACGCAGGGCGGCGGGTATGTGACGCAGGGCCAGAGCATGCAAGCAGGCCGTTGGGGGCTACGCAGGGGCAAGGTCATGCAAGCATGCTGGTTGGGGGAGCTCGCAGGGCGGCGGGTATGTGACCCTTGGGGGCCAGAGAGCATGCAAGCAGGCTCGTTGGGGGCTACGCAGGGGCGGGAGAGGTATGCAAGCAGGCTGGTTGCCGCAGGGGCGGAGGGTATGCAAGCAGGCTGGTTGGGGGCTACGCAGGGGCGGAGGGTATGTGACGCAGGGGCGGAGGGTATGTGAGGGGACGGGAGGGGACTTGCGCAGGAGCGGATCGTGGAATGGGGTCCGGCGGCGAATTGGCAGGGGTCAGAGGGGCCAGGGAATGGATCTGCAGGGGCACACATGGAGCTTGGGGGTAGCGGCCGTGCTGGGATGCGTGTGTGGGGTCCCCGAGGGAGCGGTCAGAAAACATGGCGTGACGGGTATACTGCATGCGGGGCTGCGACAGGTGCACTGGCACTTGCGTGGCAAGGATGGAGGAGTGGTGGCCGCGACGCCCTCCCTGGCAATGGTGCCCCTGGACCTCCGTGGGGCAGAAGGCGCCGCGGACTTGCTGGTGCTGCAGCGCCGGGCCGGGCTCAAGAAGCGGCGGGAGGCCTCCGGAGTTGAGGCGCAGCGCCGCGCGGCGCAGTGGTGGGAGGAGAAGAGGTCACTGCACGGGGAGCGTACGATGATGACGGCATCGATGGTTGCGGTGACGAGTGCGTTGTGCATCGTGCTACAGAGCGCCGTCGTGCGGGCTGCCACGTCGTCGCAGGGACGTTCCCTGGAGGATTCGCGGCAGGTGCGTCTTTAACACCCGCCCGACGCAGTGCGTGGTGCGCGATGCGTCCATGCAGAGACACTGCTGGTGGAGTTGGTGCGAGGGCTGAGTGGGCAGTGCTGGTGGAGTTGGTGCGAGGCATGGAGTCAGCGGCTGGTGTGGAGCTGGTGCGAGGGCATGGGTCAGCGGTGCTGGTGGAGTTGGTGCGAGGCATGAGTCAGCGTGCCAGGTTTGCTGGTCAAGTTGGTGCTGGTGGAGCTGAGTCAGCGGTGCTGGTGGAGGGTGCATGAGCAGGGCGGTGCTGGTGAGTTGCGCGGGCATGAGTCAGCGGTGCTGGTGGAGTTGGTGCGAGGGCATGAGTCAGCGGTGCTGGTGGAGTTGGTGCGAGTGGGCATGAGTCAGCGGTGCTGGTGGAGTTGGTGCGAGGGCATGAGTCAGCGGTGCTGGTGGAGTTGGTGCGAGGGCATGGGTCAGCGGTGCTGGTGGAGTCGGTTGGGCTCTGACCTAGTTGCGGGCATCTTGCCGCAGCTGCTGGCGGCGATGCTGGATGTCTTCTCGCCCGCCCGCAGTTTCGGGCTGCGTGATTTACGCCGCGACCCCCTGCTGCCCGACCCGTTGCTGGAGGAGCTACACGGCGTGCAAGATGGTGCGGTGCGCAAGCGGCTGCAATGGCCCGTACACGTGCGCAGCTTCGACCTCCGCTCGGAGTACTCTCCGCATGAAGACCAGGCGCAGGTGAGGGGTGCTTGTTGCCCGCGCGGGTGCACCGACCCCCTGACACCCCCGCCTATAGCACGCCCCACAGGCGCCTTGGGTGGCCGGCTGGATCAGCTGGCAGGTGGACGCCGCTGTGATGCGAAGCGCACCTGTTGGCGGCCGGAGGCTGAACGGCAGGCTCGTTCCCATGCAGGCCATCCAGAAGCTCGTTGCGGGCGTCGTGGGCAGCGAGTACAGCCGGTTCCAGGTCCTCAAAGGCGCCACGGGCACCGGCAAGACC